TGCATCAGCATGAGGACATGATCCTTGTGGAATAAAAATGACATGCAGACAATCCACATCTGAACACCTTTTCCTCCTCTYCATGTCTTCTTCAGCTTTAGATGTCAAGCTCTTTGGCTTAGGGAGGATTCAATCCTAGAAATCAAAGGTGCCCTCTTTGTAAACATATAATGAAGGTATAGACACATAGTATTTACTGGGCTCCAGCAAAGGAGCTGAAGGGAATTCTTTGCCCTTGGTTATGCAGGAAGTTTGGTTACATAATGTATTGGTACCATTGTGTCTTAATAATCTTTAAGTCTATGCCTCTGATCCAAAGTTCTCTGAAGACTTTAGAAAAACAATGATTTTATCTGTCTTTGGTTCAGAGCCACTGTATTGAACATACAGAGGTTGAATGACACTTTACAAATTTGTGGTCTTGCTAGGTACTTATAATCCTTGCTCATGATCACGGTATTTGACTAACCTCCCAAAACACCCAAGCAGATGCTACTGGAAGAGACCACAGTCTMTCCAAAGAGTCCATACCACAGCCCACAGGAAGGTGCTGGATYTCTTAACAAATCACTAATCAAATACGTATTTATGGATGGAGAAAGGAGTAAAGCCAAGAACTCATCTGAATAAGTGGAAAAAGAATGAGAACTAAAACAATTGAATACATTTTCTCATTACAAACTGTTCACTTAACTCTAACTGCAACTTGTTTTCAAGACCCTAGAGGGAACTGAATCATGCTCATTAGGAAAATCAGCGTCCCCTCAATCAATCCAGTGATGCAATCTCTWCTGTGTAGAGTTATTGCACTGCAGATAATGGCACGGATTTAATGAACAACACATTTCAATATGAGGCAAACTTTATGTATGAGAACGCAGCTACCTCCAGGGTGCCACCTGCACTCCTGTGCAGGGGCAGGGCGCTRTGTTCGTAAACAACGCTTGGGTAGAAATGAGGGAGCTGTGATGTTGAACCTCACAAAAATTATGTCTTTGTGGTTCAAGCTGCTTTTGCATTGACATAACTGGTACCTAYCAATCTGTGTGACCTGACAGCTCTGACTGMAGTCACTTGTCAGTAACAAGTTGAAGCCGCATGCCACCAGCTCTTATCATCCACCATGGCCTTTCAGACACGCCTTTGCACTGACTGCAGTGTCTGAGTTGAAGAAGWAAAGCAGCAATTCAGTTTGGCAGGGCTTCCAGGTCTGTGGTTCCTCCTCAGCAGGAGGACATCAGTGGTGACACTGCCTGTGTAAGTGGCCTGCCCACAACCCAATTCCCTCTGTGAAACTGCTACAGCTTTCTTGAACTCAAATGTGTTCACTGTGGCAAGTGATATGATCAGGTCTCATTGTTTCCAGTGTCTCAGGACCAAAATCCCTTTTAATCAGTCCCCAGCACTGTTCCTCACAGTATCTTAGAATGGAGTGGAAGAGAAAAAAAGAAAAGGGAATGGAAAGAGAAGTTGGAAAGGCCCTATATCCAACAACTAGTCCAACTGCCTGACCACTCTCTAGGAAGTCTATTCCAGTGTCTGACCACCTTTTCAACAAAGAAATTTGGTTCTTCCCTGATGCAGTTTTGAACCAGTCACTGGGTACTGTGGATGAGCACCTTCCACCATTTTCCTCCTCAAGARGCTGTAGASAGCAATGRGTACTTTACAGWTCTATTGGAAACTTTTCATCCTATTTATACATARACCRGACTTAGCTGGAGKGGTCAGATAAGGTCTGTGTCAGACWATCACACCCTTAACTCTCCMTTCATCRTGGCTGAAATTTCCATGTYCCTCTKAGCARMCTTCRTSCTGTGACCTGATCATGAAGATGTCTCTTGCTGCAGGGCCTGTGAGAACATCCAGGAGTGAGCAAGAGGCTGTACAGGTCATAACCTGGCTACCACTGAGTTARGAGACATGAGAGAGGTGGCAGGGGACTGTGGTGGGACCAGTCTGTCAGGGAAACTGTCCTCTTAAAGCATCCCCCTCCCAGGTGCCCCCTGGGAAGGGAGGAAGAGGAATCTGATGGCTGAAGCAAGGACCTGAGGATTTGTTCCCAGCTGTGATGCTGACTCGCCCAGCCGACCTGGCAAAGAGGCTTTTTGAACTTGGCCAATGGTTGCTAGCTGCCATGGCTGGTTTCCTCCCCTGAAGAAAGCAAGCAATTCCTCAGAAACATGGAATCACTGAATATTCTGAGCTGGAAGGGACTCACAAGGACCATCAAGCCCAACTCTTCCKCATGGGGATCGATGCCATGACCACAGCAGCATGGGCACCAGGATCCAACCACCTGAGCCTCATTTCATATTTCCACACCCGGCACAAGTAAGGCACCCTYGTTCTTGGTGAAAATGGGATTTCTTTTCTTCACCTCCCTCTGATTTTTGTGTTGGTGCTGGCAGGATCATAGGGCGGTGTGAATGCTTGCTAGAGAGGGGGCCAAGGAAGAAAAACAGATGACCAAATAACTTCAGAGAAACGGGAATTGCCTCCAGGGAGCTCCCCTTCATYCTGCTCTCTCATCAGCTGAGAGATATTCAACAGCATCCTGCTCTGCTAGTCACTGAATATTTTATATCACGGCTACAACCAGTCCATTTGTATTCCGTTTCTCTCTTTCGTCATATCTATTATAAACGAGTAGTGTCTGGGAACTCTCCCAGGGAAGATTTGCCTGGATGGCTATGGATATTTTATAGTCAAATTGTRAGAGTAAACCAGCTTTCAAGTTCTGTAGTGGGGGGAAAAAAAGGTAATAAAAGGATTATTAAAAAAATAAATAAATGTCGGGATTTTATACRGCTACTTTTTGCAGAGCTTCAGTTTGCTCCATGATGGAACTGGAGTTGCTGGAAAAGGCTTGGGATGGGAGACACCCTCTTGCTGGCATTGTCTGCTGACAGGAGCAATCTTGCTGGCACCTACTTGGCAGGACTGTGGTGGCACAAGATGAGCCAGGGGTTGTGGCTGTGACTGCAGGCATGAGGGACAGYTGGGAATACGGGAAGCAAGGCGTGGCTCGGGATTGCAGCACCCCCACTGCCTTCATACCATTGCATATGTGAGATGGGCAGGAGGGCAGGGTCTGTCTCCTCATTTCACAGAACTCCTGCTGAGTCTTACACTCTCCTCTAATCCAGGGCTAGAGAAGAAGAGCTGAATAAACTTGTTTTGCCCCAAGGACTCTGAGAGGACTTCAGCCAGTGAGGGCATCAAGATACTGAGTTTCACTTTGCAGACAGGCACATGGTGGGTTTGCTGGAGTAAGTCATGCATTCTACAGGCTGAGAGAAAAAGGACTTTTTTTCTCATTTTGTTCTCTTTCAATCTCTGTCTCTGTCTAGTCAGCCTAATTAAAAAATTTGCTCTCAGCTCGGCAGCACCCACCGTGGAAATAATCATATGGCAGAAGAGTCTATCCACTTCACAGAAATTGATCAGCCCCTTTGTACACAAGAGCCGTAACATTGGGTTGAGAAGAAAAATCACAGATATAAAAGGCATCCAAAGCTGAGGAACAGAAAATAGCATTCAGCAGCTTTCTTAGGTCTTGGGAGTCACTATAGCTTTTGGGTAATTTGTCAACGGAGCAAATCAGTAAAGAGTTAAATCAGYAAAATTCTAAAAGCAAAAATCCTGTAATGAATTGATTCTCTGGCATGTGCGGTCCACCCCATCTCCAGACAGACCACCACATGAGAACTGTTAAACCGAGCTTTCTTCCAAAATCAAGCAGATGTTGATGAGCTTTTACCTGCAAAATGAATTTGGGAATATCACACAAGAAAAAAAGCAAGAGGGGCCTCCTCTCTCCACATTTGTTTTTTTTGCCAATCTCCCACCAGTCTGAGCCACTCTTCATCGAAGAATGAGATCCCTTTCCAGACCTCCAGGAGAAGACGTGCAGGAAACAGGCAGCAGAGCTGACTCACCATAAGGGCCAGCGGCAGGGAACACACGAGTTTTCCAGACAGCATTAACAGCTGGACCCTGTCAGCTAAGCAGGAGCAGCAGGTCCAGGAAAACCTGGTGTGAGCCAGCACTGATAGTGCTCCCTGCCTGAGCAACCTGCCACTGCTGGCATGACCACAATGTGGAGCAGCCTGTCTGCAGGGGGAATCTAGGTGTGTGAAAACACCTCCGACCTAGCCCGATTCCAAGTGCAGAGAGCAGATATGAACTCTCAAAACACAGGCACAGATGGAGACCTGCTCAGTGAACCGCAGCACAGCTCCTAGCCCTGGACAGCCGTGGTGTCAGAGTTTCAGCCTTGCCCAGATTTTGCAGTTTAACCTCTCAGCTGTGCCACATGTGTGCAGAGACGTGGCCAGAYTCAGGAGCACGTTCCCTCCCAATGACATCTACAGTACTGAGCAGAGAGCTGTTAATTAACCCTGCTTATTGAAGGGCGGACACATTGCTGCCTGGGCCCTGATTTTTCAGTCAGGCTCTAGTCCAGCAGGTGATTAATAACCCTGTGTGCTGTGGGAAGAGTGCATCTATTATTCAAATTAATGAAATTATAATCAAGAGGTGACGAATTAGCAGTTGCTCCTTGACTGGATCTGGAAACTCATTAGCGTRCCAGGCGCTTTCATGGTGCTCGCTGCACTCGAGGCTTACAGTAACGAGAGGAGGGAGCCAGGCAGGGCAGGCAGCCCCTGGCACAGCTGGGGGAACACACATCTGCCCCCCAATACAGCTGTGGCCACCACAGAGCCCCCTCACCTCATCTCCTGTGCAGCGCACATACCGACTGTAAGTGCTGTCCCAAGGATGGGCTGTGACAGCCTCACATCCCTGGCACTGCTGGGCTGTGGGCACAGGACAAGTATTTGAGAGCAGCAGCCCACCCTGCTGCTTGGAACACTGGARTAGGACTCCCGCCCTCTGGAATTGCTGGTTGCAGGCACAGCTGCTGGAGAAGGAGGCTGGAGATGTTCCCCGGTAGCCCATGAGGCTGGGCTTGCCTTTCCCTGCAGGGTACTCACCAATGTGCTTCCCATACATGTGGTAGTAGAAGGAGACACAGTAATACTTGGCAGTGATATTGTAGAGGGGGCTGATGAGCCGGGCTTTGTCTCCTGTCACCCGTGGCCGGGACGCCTCGATGAACATGTAATAACCTACAGAGYGAGAGGGAAACGTGGGCAAAGGCAGTCTGGGTCTCCCTTCCTCCAAAAGATGGGATGACAGCGTGGCTGGGAGGCCACCTCTCCTCTGGGAGACATGGCCTTGCTGTTCCCAGCTGCTCTGCACCCCTGTGATCCTGGCCAGAGACAGGTACAGGATATCTGCAATGCCTCCCATGCCTTGGCCCTGTTTAGGGAAGAGCAGGAGAGGCAGAGACAGAGCTGCTGTGAGTGYGTGCAGCAGGTGAATCCCTGAACACACACATCTGCCTGAGTGCAAAAGGAGCCTCAGAGCTGACTGCACAGTGCAAGGAGAACACTAGGAAGAGGAGGGAGAGACCATTCCAGATTAATTTCTCTGCCTCAAGCAGAGGGGGAGAGAGGATTCGGTACATTTAGCCTAAACAATATTGTTATCTAAAGAGAATGATACCCAAGCAGTTGTTAACAGCCCAGCGAGGAACAGATTAGCTATTTTATTTGTTAAGATAATTTTCAATGCTCAGTCAGGTGGGTGTATTGAACACTAATGGGAAAAGCCACTTCCTTAGCTGGCCATTTTATTTCCCTTTTTTTTCTGAGTTCAAAGATACATGTTTGCATACGAATTTACTTTTCTTATTTGAGAAAGAGGGATGTACTATCCAGCTAAACTGGGAGCACGTACTCCGTGCACAGCTGTGGTGCACAATACGTAACACCAGTCTCCTCCWGTTAGAGGTGAGGCTTTCTCCCACTCCACAAGCAGCTCCTGTCTGGTCTCTCATGCTTCTTTGCTTAAGGAAATCTGTTTGTATTCCTGAGAGCTTCATTGAGGAAAGAGCTGACTAAAACCTACAGAGCCATTTCTAGGTGTTAGAGATGTTCTCCTACTTGTTTATCTTTTTTTTTTTACTTCAAAACAAGCATCAAACAGTGCAAGGGCATTAGGCAGCAGGCAATTAGCTGGTAACAAGAACTAATGCTCACACTATTCCAATCAACAAAGTCATGAGTGTTTTAATTGTGTGTTTAACGCCAATCAGTAATATGCAAATTAGCTGCCTGCTCCCTGCACCCCGTGCTAAGCAGAAAGCAGATCATCCCTCCACAGGCTCCCAGAGGCATAAGGCTCCTGACAAGAGATGGTGTAGCCCCTCGCCTCCCCAGCAAAGCCAGAAAAAACCCAGACTTGTGCCTACCCTCCGGCGTACCGCTGATGTCCGTGGGGGGCCCGGTGTTGACGGTGCGCTTGGGGTTCTGGGTMAGGGCGTTCTGCCGGGTCCAGTCAAAGTTGTCCATCTTGTCCTGCATGAATCCACAGATCTTCTCGTCCTCGAAGCGGCAGGTGTTATCTGTGGGGAYGGGAAGGGAAGGGGCTGCTCAGGTGCAGCTTTTCAAACACGCTCCCCAAGCTGCATGGGTGCTCACGGCAGTGTTGTGTCACCACTGAGGCTCCCCTGACTGCAGGAGGAGGCTGAAAAGAAAGRCTTCATAGAAATTACAGAAATCACAGAATGGGCTGAGTTGGAAGCAGTCTCAAAGACCATTCWGTTCCAAASCCCTTGCCATGGGCAAGGATGCCATTCACTAGATCAAGGTGCCCAAGGYCCCATCCAACCCGACCTYGGACACTTCCATGGATKGGGCACCCAYAGCATCTCTGGACAGCCTTTTSCAATGCTTAGCATTCTCTAAGTATTTACTCTTAACATCTGATCTAAATCTGCCCTCTTTTACTTAAAAATGTTCCCCCTTGTCCTATCACTACSCATGMTATATCAGTGAYTGKTGTTATGGAAGGGTTAAYCCAGGCTGATGGGTGTGATGGTCTGACAAAATGGAATAAAACTATTATGGCTAAAGAGAAAGAGATTTTCTGAGAGATCTGAAGGGGCAAATGTAGAACAGAGTAAAAAGACCACTGAGGGCAAACTGGCTACAAGGGGTTTTATATCAGAATAACTTGATGGTAGAATAATTTCTCCAGGAGAGAGGAAAAAGTATCAGCAGATGATCCCCCTTCAGGCTATATATTTAACTAAACTATGACACACATCAGCTGCGGAGAAGAGGTCAGCTCAGTGTGACAAACGTGTCGTTTAGCCAGAGTACATCTAATTTATACCAGCTAAAAGGCACATTTKATTTTGCAGCTTGTGCTGGCTCCCCTAACCAAATAAAACACGTAGGTAAAAGATTTTTATGTGGGATCAACCACATGTGCAATAGYGCTCGCTTTTATTACTACCACAAGACAGTTACACCCTACGGCAATATTGTAAGACAGATGAAAAATCTTGTGCATAGACATAACACAATATGGACCTGCAGAGATTGGAATGAATTGGATGTGACCAGGCTGAAGATTGTAACCTTTGTGTTAAAAAGGTAGTTCTTGAGTCACACCAGCAAAGGCCAAGGACCAGCTTTGCGCTGCTGACACAGTGAGAGAGGGATGGATAAAACAGGCAAAAAAGAAAGAGAAAACAGGCAAAAAAGAAAGAGAAAACAGGCCCACCTACCCTACACAACAACATCTGTTATCTTGTACCAGAGAGGAGAGATTGCCCATGAAATGAGCACAACCTTGACTCTGACATGCTGCACCTTCTGGTGGCTACCCTGCAGCTAGCATCCTCCCCATCCCTTCCCATTTGGAAATGAAGATGTCTGTAATCCAAACGGAAACCAAAGGTCTGCACACCCACGTGGGTGCGAAGTGGGGTTCCTCCTTCTCGCCTGTCTCTTTCCAGAATCCCACCAAGGCAGTCAGAAAAGAAAGGGCAGTCTCCTGCTGTGGCCTGYCAAAATGTCTTTGCCAGGATAGGTGGGACAGTGGGTGGCAAGCCAAGGGCTTGGTTCACAGACCAGGCAAGCTGGGTTTTCCGTAAGCTCAGTAGGAAATGCCACATGTCCACTCCCTTGGGCTGAGCACAGCCATCGGGAGCTTGTCTGGGCTGGCCMCTTAACTGCTGATTAACCCTGGCTAAGTGCTTTCCATTCAATCTGCTCATTTCCAATTAGCATCCAAAGCCCAATTAGCCACTGCTCAGCAGCACCTAGCACAGGGGCCCAAATGGCACCKGGAGCTGAAGAAGGGAGCAGATGATGATGGGGCAGATGCTTGCAGGGTCTGAGACAGGGCAACTGGGTGGGATGGGGGGCCTCTTCCATCCCCAGAACAAAGGGATGGAAGAAGCAGAGAGTGARAATGCAGCTCCTAAGGGTCCTCCCTCAGCTCTCATGGCTGAGARAAGGGAGTTCATGGCTGTACCAGATACTCAGTGGTCCTCAAAGGAGGGCTGGAGCCCAGCAAGCTTGCTGATGTTGCTGGGTTGTGTAATCCCCCTTGTTTCTCTCCACTGGATCAAAGACAAACATCTGCATGACTCCAGCTCGTGGATTACCAGCTGCAGATAGGGGAGATGTGTTTTCTCTTAGGATGACATTTTCCTACACAGCAGGATCCACCACGAGTGTCCTTTTGCAAAAGGACAGGGCAGTTTGCACCTCTGACCCTGATGAGCACATGGACCTTCAAAGAAAGATGACATCTGTCCTCCAGCACAGAATTACCGTAACAGGGAATATGAGGTGGAAAGCAAAGCTGGAACAGAGAGGCCAGCCAGGCAACTAATTGAGAGGGAACAAACCCACAAATGAGGAGGCACAGAAATCAAAGGAAAGGCAGATTAAGGAGAAAGCACAGGCTCAGGTGGAGATCAGAGAGTTGTGCAAGACAAGAGGACTTGAGGACAGCATACCCAGCTTAGCACCAAGGCCTGGYTGTGCCAGCCTGGCGAACTACTGTGCCTCATCTGTAAGAAGCCACACACACAGAATGAGACTGCTCAGAGAGGTGACTCAAAAGCCTGCAGAGAGCTCTTCCACTGTCCAAACAGGGCCCTGCGTACATCCCCTCCTCTCACTCAAATGCAGCTACTTCCAGAAGGCAACACTTCCAGCAGAGCACATAAAACAGAGAAGGGTCCCATGCAACACAGATGGAGCTATGCTGTTGCTTAACCAACAACCTGATTCATCTCATGTGCAACACCACTCGCTGGGCAGGAGTTGGTAACTACAGCACATCACCTCTGCTCAGCTTGGGAGCTCACCTGCTCAGTTGCCTTGCAGCAACTAATGAACAAGGCTCCCCACATCTCTGTGGCACAGCAATGCCTCTTTCTGTGCATCTTCTGCGTTACACATGGGGAAACAGAYACACAAAGTACAGAGGGACTCATTTAAGGTCACAGCAGCAGTGGCTAAGCTGGAAACAGAACCCAGGAGCTCCAACTCCTGGTCCTTTGGTTTAAAACAAGCCAAAGGAAAGCAAAGCTCCGTGGTTTCTCTTTAGCTACAAGTGGAGGTTCCATGAGAAACTGAGAAGTGTCACTGTGGTTTGGGGCATTGCATGTCACCTTTGGATGGTTATCAACAAGGTTAACCAAGAGAAACCTGGCAGATCCAGCCAAAATCAGAACCTTTAATGACCTGCTGTGCCTCAGAGGCCATAGAGGTGATCTGACTTTAGACCTCGATTGTGTGATGCAAACCTTCTGGAAGACTTCCACCATTTGCCAAACATCCTGGTTCATCATCAAGGTGTAAAAGAAGCTTCCTGTTTAAAATTTTATCAGTGGATTTAAATATTGAACCCAGAAGTTGTTCTCTGAATTGTTATAGGTGAGGTGGAGGTGGCAGGGGAGCTGGCTCCTCAAAGGCTGGAGTTAGCAATTCTTCACCAAACAGATTTCCTTGGCAGGCTTTGCAGCAGTGGCAGCTCAGAGTGCAGAGATGTTTGCTCCCAGTTACAGACACCTCCCTGCATTCCCAGGGGAGAGACCCTCTGCTGTGGCAATTAGCATTTCTTGTTGCTTTGCCTTCTTGAGAAACATAATGCAGGTTTTCCTTTCAAGTCCTTAGGGGAAAGCCATCCCTGGTTCTGAAATTCTGGCTGCCGGATGCATGCAAAAAATAATCTTATTCTAGCTGCAGACTATGGGTGAATAGCAGATGGAGTGCACTTGAATAAAATTGCCTTCATCATTTAGCTCTGGCCTGACAACTGACACTGGCTTGTTATCAAGGACCACGCTCTGAGCCTCAGCTCTGCTGCAGACCTGCTGCGTGACCCATAGGCTATCACTTTCTGGACATCAGTTTCCCCACCTAGGAAATTAAAACAGTGAAAACTGAGACCTCAAAGCATGTAATGATCTCAGGAAGAACATTTAACAGCCTCTCCCATTGCAAGCTTCTGGGGCTTTTATAACCAGTAATGGAAGAAAGCCTCGCAACACGCTAAGTGGTTAAGTCATCCTATTTGCCATCAGGATACAAGGAACTGACACCTTTTTTAACCTCTGCATTACAAACATGCTTGAAGAATGGGCACAAACATGAGTAATCCAGCTCTAAACACAAGCTGACATCTCATTGCCACATGTACTTACCTGAACAAACTTGTATTCCTGTGGACTCTGAGCATTACCAGAGATCAGACACCCAAGCAGTAGATGGTAAGSAACAAGCCAGGCTAATCTACAACAAACCAACATCTGCCACGGATCGCCACCCACTGTACTTGTCCGTGGTCCCAAAATCATGGTTTTAGCACCACACACAGCCAGACTGTGGAAACATGAGAAATTGCCTTGCTGCTCTGGAAGGGCAMGACACATTGGCCAACAGAAAAATAAACCAGCTATCCCATATACTTCTTAATGACCTCATCAGCAAGGTTGCATGGTTATATATGATAGAGCAAGGGAAACCAAAACACCCACAGCTGAGGAGCTGGAATGGGTTATGGGGCAGCACTCCAGAGGTTAGGTTAGAAACCAAAGGCTATATCAAAATGAAATTGCAGAGGAGGTAAGAAGGACAGAGTAGATTCTGCACCTCTGGAATTTAGTCATGACATGAAAATAATCAGTTATTCTACAAGAACTTTAAGGTAATACCTTAGAATTAAGATAATTCTTGGGCAGTTTTTAAAATATGAATTGTGGTTTTTTAGAACCAGATTAACTTATTATTAAGAGTCAGTCTTATTGGTAACCTCTAAATATTTGAAATTCCTAATGTCTTCTGTTCATTTCCTCTGCTMTTCCTTTGCTTTTCCTTTATAACCCAATACCTGGCTCGGTAACCATGCCACACGCATGCCTGCCCCAATGTTATTAACATCTTATTAGGCTGAGAAAGAAAATGCATGAAGAAGTAATTGTATTAAGTGACTCTCAGAGTTTGTAAATTAATCACCATTGTGCATGCCCTTGGATCAGGCTGCCAGAGGCATTAATCATCTAATCTTTGCCTTTCACTGGAGAGCTCTCACTGTTTGCTACCAGAATTTGGCTGGGCAGCTTAGCATGAACTCTTCCCTGGGGTGGTGGTAGCAGGGGAAGTAGGAAAAGAAAAAGTAGCAGGAGGGATTTCCATGTTACTGGGATGAGAGTCAGGGAACTCAGCTGTGGTCCAAATAAAGAGCTAAAAGCCTTTGGGCTCATATTTCACTGGCAGCAGATGTGAAAGAAAAGGGTGTATCTGAAAGCAAGTGTGGCAAGTCCGATTTTAGGCAATCAGTCTCAAGGCATGAACCTCATGACTGGCCCAGGGGTCCTAATATCCACCAGAGGCTGTGCAACTTCCATCAAGGGGAAATTGTACGTGTTGGGTTTACTGCATGAAAAGCGTGAGTGGCTGAGTTATCTTCTACCATAGGCAAATTTCCCGCAGTGGCTCTGGACTCAATCAAACTGGCAAAGCAACCCCAGGCAGGCAATTCGAAGGCTCAGCTTRCAAAGACCCCAAGAGATTGACACAATTAGGACTGAAGTTGCTCTGGGTTTACCAGTGATTTATGCAGTGTAAAAGCAAGTGGCAAAAGGCCAGATTTTGTCACTTCCACCTGCAGGCTGGGACGCTTGCCTCCTCCAGCAAGTACCAGGAGACACATTCTGGAGTAGGTCCCTGAYAATATGCTCTGTGTTTCCCAGTGAGTCTTCTATGGAGAATACTTAAAGAAGATCAGGAAATGAGGAAAAGCAATCAAATGGAATCAGGAATTAGAGCCACAAAATCCCTCCGACTCTGTAAGAAGCTCCCACTCTCAGGCAGAGCATGGCTCATCAAACCATCCTCAGAGTATGAACRTGCAAGAATTAACGCCTTGTGGCGGCCTTAGCATGACAGCTCCACATCCCGATTCTTGGCTGCCATCACCTAACCCTGGTTTCTCCTCCCCATTGCCACCCTGCAGTGCAGCAGTAGCACTTAATTACACACAGAGTAGTACATAAAAACACCGAATAATGACTCAGCAGCTGGAAACAGGGAGAAACAGGTACACGCTCTTCATGGAGCACCAGCATGTAGCCTGCCCATCTCTGCCCAAGAGTTTTGCCTGGGGTTACATCCTACAATGAAAGCAAAGGGAATTTGTTGCATTCCCTGAAGATCATTCCCCCACTACTAACAGCAAGCTAGAATTCCTCTTTCATCTTCAATGGGCATTATCATGTTGATGTTAATGACCACTGTTCTTAGACATTGTGTATTTTGCTCTCAAAATCAATGGGAACTCTGGATGCTCAATCTTACCAAAAGGTAAATAAGCAAATTAACAGTGATGACTCTGGAGGGGAGGAAGAAAGGGATTGTGCTCAARGAGTTTGCAAGAAGAGCCAGATCTGAGCTGGAGACTGCTCCATACAAGCCTGTAAAGATATCAAGCGGCATCTTTCCTAGTCAGATGGGGATGGGGAATATTCCTAAACACATATTTTGGGGAACATTTAATACCCTGCTCACTGGAAGCAGATTGCTCATGCTGGCGCAAGGGGATGGGTGTTCAGCATCACACTCTACCCAGCCACAGAGATATCAGGTGTGAGTGAGAGGCATATCCTCTGTGAAAATCTCCTGGCAATAACTTGAGGAACAACAAATGGCAGTATTTACTGGAAGATTTAGTGTATGCAATTTCATCCTCTTTTGGGGAAAAAGATTTGACAAAATCAGCTGTGTATTCCAGCTGTTTGTTCTTGCCTGATCTGCTGGAGCACTTGACAAACATGCATTACATTCAAAGCATTAACACAAAGGTCTTGTTGCTTACCTGTTGGATTGGGGTGGTTGATTGCTGAAAAAAGAAACAGAAAAGCAAGTGAGAACAGCTAGTACTCCCCCAAATCACAAATCATAATCAAAGTCTGAAAGTAAAATAAACACATCAAGAAAGGTCACAAATGCACAAGTCTCCTGGCAGCATCCCTCTGAAAAAGCAGTGATTGGAGTCTGTTTTGGTGGTGGGAAAAGATGCTGACACTCTGATCCAAGCAGCAACAGAYCTTAAGAAAACCCCACCCAAGGGGGTGATCCTGGGATTGTACAGGGAAACCCTTCTGGCAACCCAAGTAGTTCCTTCTGGAGCAACCAGGGGTAACACCCCCTTAAACACCAAAGCCTGGTGTGTAAGAGGGACATCAAAACTGTTTGATGCACTGTGGAAATCTGAGATGACAGCTATGCTGGGGACACTGGACAAATTGTCTGTCCATGGAACAAGAGGGCTGTGTGAAATCATACAAACATAGGAGGAGAAGGATCTGTACTTTCTGCTGAAATAGAGGGTCCAAACTCCTGTTGGGGAGTAAAGAAATCATGGAGTTGTGGGAATAGAGAGAGCTGTGAGCTGYTGGGATGATGGGGAGAGAAGTATGGTCAATGTGTATCAATGGGATAATGTGGGATTCATGGGACTGGACAGAGCTACAGCTTTATGAGTGACTAGTTAGGAAAGGAATCATGAATTCAACTCTGGAAATAACTGAAATCGTCTTACTTTTATGGGCATCTGGCTAATGCCCATAAAAGTATCTGGTGGCTGTCTTCCATAATATACCAGTGTACTATGGGAAGTTGCATTATGTCCTGACAGGGCACTGGGGTTTTTGGGATCTCCTGCCCACAGACTGCAGAGTGTGATTTACAGCTACTGAGTGAAGGATGAGTGGAGATCAACCTTCAGAGGTCTCTATTTAGMGCTCTGCGCCGATGGCAACAGCCAAAACACAGTCAAATGTGATGGCACTGCGCCATCAAAACTCCCCAGAGCCCAGAGACCMAACCAGGGATCTCGGGACACCACATCTGTGCATGCCCACGTCCCCAGGCGTGGGGCTCGGAGCTGCTCTCGCAGGCAGCACCGAGGAGGAGACACCTACGTTCCATGTACCGGATGACGCGGGCAGCCATGTCCCCGGCCCCAAARCTGGTGATGGGCGTCAGGCGAACTTCATAGCTCTGAGGCACTTTCAGGTTGGGCAAGATGTGCTCCAGCAGCAGCCCTTTCTCCATTTTCTTCACGGGAATGAAGGTTTGGATGGTGTTTCTCTGAGACAGCTGCATAGAAAAAGAACCCACAGTATTATGAAAATCCTGAGACTGGAAACCTGAGCAATCCAGTCCATCATSTAACACCCTATTGCTCCTCTTCCTATACAGACGTACACCTGGTCACCCCATGAGATCTTCATGTAGACCTGGTTTGGAAATTCCCAACCCTGCTGAGCTCTTCCTCAAGGGAAGCCTTGGTGTCCTTCTGTCTCTAGGGAGGACTGGAACTACAGGTGCTGGAGCAACTTTTGTATGAGAATCAATGGCTTCAGGAGGAAGAATGAACCCAATTCACCCATTAGTGCACACAGGTTCTGTGGAAACACAGCATGGCATTTTGCCAAGATACCCTTCAGTTCCCAGAATTCATTCATTTGCTTCCTGGGCCATGTTGCATTTCATCTGGTGTCTCACTGGGACCAGGTTCCTCAGCAACCTTCCTTCCTTGATTCCCAGCCCACACTGCCTTCAGAGACCAGACCAAGGAGTCTAGCTCAAGCTGATGGCTCTCTGGAGTCTCTCATMGGCTCTCTCTTCCTCAGACACCCATTGGAAGGGGCTGAACTATGCTACCTGAACCATTCCAACTAAACATTGTTCAGTTTGCTAAGGCAGCAGGGGAGTTTCAAGAAAACAATGGGGAAAATATCGTTATCAAAATCACCACCACTAAAAATGATGAATTACATGTCAGTGAAATCTCCCTGCCACGGTCACGCTTGCTTGGCTGGGAAAGGACAAGAATGAGGATTGCATTGTGCAGATACAATTTCCTGCCTGTCKCTGTGCGTGCCTGGATCCTCGTGGCAAGAAATGTTACTGGGGATGCTGGTCCTGGTAAAAAGACCTTTGGCAGGRCTTTCCATAGTCCAGCGTTCACTAAGCTTTCCCCTGCCTCTGATACATTCTCTAGGCTGAAGCTTTCATTGCAAAGGCAATTCTCCTGGCAGGCAGTCTCAGTGCTCACCATTAACTCTGAAGTTACAGGATTACTGGATGCAAGGAGGAAGGTTTACAGCAAATATATCAGTATAGAGAGTGCGGGCAAGAAGATGAGTGAGGGCACAGCAGAATCGAAGGCCACTATCAAAGCAGGACAGGGGGGCTACCCTAAAAACCACTGAGGAGCAGTCCTTGTGGGCAGGACCAGGGAACTAAAACTTGGCCCCAGGATGCTGCCAGGATCTGTTCATATCAACAACGCCCTACCTGCACACATGCAAGGTGGGTTCTGACCCAACTGGCATTCYGACTGCTCAGCCCTCCCATCTGCCAGCCCCCTACACCGCTGCTCCGGCCAAGCAGTGGCAGAGCTGGCTCCCAGGGGCAGGAACTTAACCTGGGATCATTAGTACCAAACCCTCAATCATCTGGGAGAAGAGGAGAAGCCAGGAGCCAGAAGCAGAAGGCTGGAGTGGTATGGCTCCTGGCATGGGACCTTTTGGGGAGTGGAGTGTGACTGGGAGGGCTGGCAGCAGCTCCTCCCCACAGGCTGCCGTTTGCAGCCAGCAAATAGGAGGAGGTCAGGAGCCATTTCCCTYGTCTAGACATAACCTTTAGAAGGGAAACAAAAGGAGAGTCAGAGAGAAGCTTGAGGGTGAGATTCAGACAGTGCAAATTCCACCTCAGCTGGGARTTAGGTGGAATTTAGGTATCTAAAGCCTCTGGGAGCAAGGTCAAATCATGTATTCTCCCACATCATCTAATTCAGGACAAATCAGCCTCCAGTCTGAACTGCACAGCTCTGGATCCCCCAGTTGGGTCTATCCTCAGGGGCTTGTGTAACCAAATAAACAACTGGCTGCCACCCTGGTTAGCCTGCAAAACAGAAATAATTAAAGGTACATATGCTTCCCATGGGTCACAACCTGCCTGCTTCCCAGAACAGACCTGGGTCACTAGGTGATGGGAAAGGCACAGCCAAGGCTCAGCATGAATTCCTCTTGGCRCTTAAAGTTTTAAGGGGGTCTTTTTCCTCCACCAAATACTTTGTAGCCAATTTTTCTCTCAGCCTGTGTTCTGTCTCCATTCCATATGCAATTTGGACAGACACAGAAACCGGCAGCCAGCAAGACTGCCCTCTGCACATCTTTACCATTTGCAGGTCTCTACAGTCCTGGCTTCACAACAGAACTGGCCCTGGATGTCTTTGGAAAGGCTGGCTCTTCTCTGTGAAAAGCAGTGTGGGCCAAACACGTACCCTGAGCTCGCTGCAGCTGTCAGGAGAAGGAGCCAGGTGTGCTGCCATCACAGCTTAAAGGGCATGAAATTGGTGCAAGGGAGAAAACGGGGACAGAGCCAGCCAGCTGCTTGTGGTGTGATGTGGAGCAGGTGTCGGCTTGCAGTCACTAGCACAGCTCCAKCAGACAGAGACATAAAGGCCAAGGTCTGCCCCTCCTTAAACACCCTCTGTGTCCCTRATGGCCAGCAGCAGGTCTGTGCAGAGCTGCATCCACCAGTGCAGCAGGAAACCATTTTTYAATCCACTTCAGCTGCCAGCTGCTGCCCTTTCTCCTGCTCTGTGTGTTCTCTGGTCTCATGCTATCCTGGAATCTTCTTCCTTCCACCCCCTCCTCAGCATCTCTCCTCCTGATCATGTCGACCCAGTGTTCCAGTTTAATATTGCTGCAGTGCAGTTCATAAAGCAGAGGACAGGGAAACACTGGCCACCTTATTAGAGGCGCTGAAGCCTCAGTGGAGATCTCATGCAACAGGCTCATTCATCACCAGGCTTGGGAAGCTGCCAGTGGGGCCAGAACAAGAGCATTGCACCAAGCACAGCCCTTTCCTCTGCCTTCACCCCCTCCCATTCCCAAAAATCTGAGGAAGGAGATGGAAAAGGAAAAAATCCATGCAAATCCACAGTTTCTACCAGCTGGCTGTGAACAGCACACAGGCTGCAGAGGTGAGAATGTTCTTGTAAAATGGGTACACTAAAAACACCTTAAAAGGGCAAAGTCAGCCCCATGTGGTTCGCATGTATTCACATGCAGCGCCTGTGACTCGTCCCTTTCCYGTCACTCATAAGCAGCATTAGCAATCACAGGAGAGCACACTCACATGCACTCAGCCACCAAACCTCTGGGACCTGCAAGCTGGGGCTGCCCTTTCTCACTCCTCACCATCACCAACCCCACTGGTAYGCATTGTCTGCCCATTCCCCTGTCTATCATCCGAGCCAGCTTGTGATGCTTGCAGAGTGCTCGTCCCGCTGCAGCCAGCTCAGCCCACCTACAGACTGGGAACACACACCAAGAGGCTCAGAGACAAAGGCAGGATACCACACTATCCCTGCCCATGCTTCCATTCCCAGCTGGGCCATTGTCACAGCAGAGGGCCCAAGGTGTGACACACCCAGACTGACACACCCACATTTTCTCTTTATATAGGCCACTAAAGGAAAAGGACAGGACAGTGTTTTCAGACTGAATGATGTTTATGCCAGGTATGTACCAGCTAGCAGACTTAACAAAGCCAAAGGATCTTAATAAACACATCTGTCAGGAGTTAATGTTGTGGTTCTGCTCTACACCACTACCTGTGCTGAGGCTGGTGTCACTTGCGTAGCCATGCATGTGGGCTCACAACCAGCTGTACATTAAGCTGCTTTGCATGCTTGTTTGAGGGAGAAATTAGAAGGAAAATCTATTTTATCACCAAGCCCCAAGGAATTGTTTCAAACACCAGCTAGAAAAATGAACATTAAAGTCAGGTAGATTCCCCAGCATGCAGATCAGAGCAAAGGAACTGTTTTGCAGGCATCCATCCTCCCAGCACTGCAATTCACTCCTAACGCTCTCACTTGTACCCCTTCTTCAGCAACTTCTCAGCTCAGGGCACAAGCACCAGTTCTGTCTTCCAATATTTCCATTCAAATCCTTTCCACACATGCTCGCTCTCTCACCCTTTTTTCTCAGCCTCATTCAAATTCCCCTGGCTGCTCCTTCCTGCAGCACAAAGGAGACAGGGGTGGCTGCCTGCATTCCCACTCCACCCTCACCAACTGTAGATRTGGGCTGCTGGGAAAGCTCTGGGGCCTCTCCAGCCTCTCTGAAGGCAGAGGAGGCAGCAGATAAAGGCAGGCTGGTGTGGYACAGCAGCCCCACATGCAGGCTCCACCACTCTGACAGGCTCTTCCCTGCTCCCTGTGCAGCCCTGCAGAGGAGCAAACCAGACAAATATTGTCTCTGGCACATGTGCAGGTGGGATGTCCTAAGTSCTCCCACTCTGCCCCTCTTCTCTCATCTGTGAGTGTCAGGACACTCTGGAGAGCAATGTCCACCAGACGAGGAGCTGTGGAGAGCCTGGTGGTGCAGGAAGCACATGTATCTCAGTAAGGTCTGAAAAGGATGGGGCACTAATCTGCATGAAATAATCTTCAAATGACTGTTCAGCTGATAAGCTGCACTCTTCAAGCAACCAGCAGCCAAGGAGGTCTTCAAAGCTCCCTGCCAAGCTGCCCAGTTTCTCAGCACACACAGACAKCCCTGTTTGGCAAGGTCTGGGGGACAGAAGAAGGGGAGAGCAGAAGGGCACTTCTCTTCTGACAGGCAATAGCACTCAGGGTGTGACAGTCCCTCCCATCTGTCTATTTGAGCCTGTTCACAAGGAGCCWTGGCCACATTACACAGCTCTGTCCCAGACTGCTGCAGACATCGTCTCGTATCAGATTTCCCCGGTGGCTGCGACTGTGATGACCTCATCCCAAGGAAGTCCAGCTAAGATACAGCTGCTCCCTTCCTACAGGAGTGCTGTTCACAAAGACCAGAAACAATCACACCACTGCCCTCAACATGATAGGGCTGGCAGTGTCTGTGGCCTTAAACTGGTGACAGCCAGGAAAAACACTCCCAGGATACTGGAAGGGGCTGAGCTTTGTTACTGGYGCTGATAACAGATCCTGGGATGACCATGGGGCTCTGCAATGCCAAACTTCAAGCTAACTCATCAGACATTCCCTGTCCTCAATTCCTGTCCCAGCTGTGCTTTCAAAACTACAGGATACA